AATGACAATGAGGAAGTAACAAAGGCTAAAGGAAAGGGAAAGAGAACTAATTTTCCACTTACTGTGAATATGTATGAACTTCTGAAAAGTTCATACATAGGTGAATAGGTGAACCCTTAACACAGGAACTGATGGGAAATTATTAAATATTTATTTGGCTTTTATCATTTGCCATTAGGCTATGCATAAAGAATATTCTGACACTGTCATAAGGATTAAGATCCTAAATATTCTATTAAACATTTCATTATGTTAAAAAAAAAAAAAAGGCTAAACGAGGACGACTCCTATGAGACATGAGCCGAGGAGCGTATGTGGGAAATGAGAATAGGGAATTTTAATTTGCCTGTAATTTCTCGCATTATGTCTTTATCTACCAGAACTCACATCATCTCACTTAACTCACTTCCCTCTCCTTCAACCTCTGCAAGATGGATCTTAAAGGAAATAGTCAATCCTTTCATCATCAATAGTCTTTCGTTCCTCAGTAGTCAATAGTTGTTCATCATCGCTGATTGGAGCTGAAGGTTGTCTAGCAAGAATGGTCTACAAGGCAGGAATCTCCAGCCTTTTTAGCAGCAAAACTACTGTCCATTTCCTTAAAATAGAAAGCAATATTGGGAACAAGAAGTTAAAGTTCTGTTTATTCCAAGAGTAAGATTCCACAGTATCAGAAACCAGTGTCTTCTGACCTGGCAGAGCAAATACTGCCTGTGGGTGGCCATGAGCCCTGCCCCATCACCCCTCCCCCCACCAAGGGAGCCTTAGCTATTGCCACAGGGCCCTCAGCCCTGCTAGAGGCCATGGACATGCTTTTCACTTTCTGGAGTAGTTGCACTATATGTACATTGAAATAGGAAAGAACACACTGAAATGATAACCACTGAGCTGTCACAAAATAAATTAAATTTAAAAATAAGCAAACAATCAAACAGTACGTTCCCTGGGAATAGAATGGGAACTACATTTGCACTTACAGACACTCCCCATTGAGCCCAGTTATCCCTGTGAGCATATATAATGTCTGCCCTAATTTTCATTCTATGGGCTTCAATTACTTTATTTTTCTAAATATGAATAGTCTTTTCCGTTAAGTCATATCCTGATGGATAGCTCTGTTCTGATACCCCTGTTGTCTCATCCCTAGACAGATGCCTCTTGCTTGTGAGGTGGCTGAGAAAAAAAATTTTTTTTCAAGTCAGAGCTGTTAAAGCAGAGAGGGTTCCTTCTCATGGACTCTCCCCTGAAACCTCTAAATCTCTAAGCAACAATAGGCTCAGCTGACAGTCCTGATCTGAGACATTTAAGAGGATTTTAGAAAAGATTTGGCTTTTGTTTGTTGTTTGTTGATATCTGGAATAAGGGGAGAGTATTATCTCTAGCCTTTCAGACAAAAGGTTTCACAGATTGTTCTGAGAGTAGGACTGGCGATCGAGATGCTCCTATCTATTCCATTCACTGGATCATCACTAATGTTACACTGCAGAGCTTGCCAAATTGGGGTATATCTCTCAGCAAGTAAATAAAGGGAAGCAAATGACCAATAATTTATCCTGCACTTGTTATAAGTAACTCAAATTGCCTTGAACAGACAAATGTGTTTCTGTTATTACCACATGCCGTGAAAAGATAAAGGTATCTGGAAATAATTCGTTTCAGTTGCATAAGGAAAAATGCATATATTGCTGCCTTTGCATTTTACATATATGTAACATTTCATTCATTGAAAAGCAATAGCAGATCTGAAACTTAATCAAATGTCTCATGTGAGTCGTGAGGTAGCTCATGAGATTATGGATCTGAGGGAACATATTCAATGATTTATCCAAAGTTAGTTGGAATTCACAGTGCAAAGATGTATTATCTTTTCATCTAGCTACAGCTAAGATACCTTGTAACAACACTCAGGCATACAATTTGGGAGTATGCAAACAGTTCTGCCCTTGAAAGGTGAGGACCAGCCTCTGTTCTCTGCTTTCTCAATTGCTTGTGGATGAAATGGAAATTAGATCTCCCCCACACTGGTAGGGGAGTTTAGAGCACTCTGTTGAGAAAGTTTTAAAGATGGAGTCCAAATCCAGTCTTAGCAGGAAACAAGAGTGAAAAGGATTACTGATATTTGCATAGATACTGAGTGGGAGGCAGTACTAGCCCCTTGTGCCACAGATTTGCCACCTGGTAATGCCACACTATTGCCAGCCCACTGCTTATCCATTTAATCATTCAGCCATATATCTGTCATTTTAAAAATAGTTTCATGAGGAGCACCTGGGTGCCTTGGTGGAGCTTCAGACTCTTGACTGCGGCTCAGGGCCATGGGGTTGAGCCCCACATGGGCTCTTTGCTAACTGGGGAGTCTACTTGAGTCTCTCTCTCTCTCTCTCTCTCTCTCTCTCTCTTCCCAGCTCATGCATGCACACATGCTCTCTCTCTAAGATTAAATAAATAATAAATAAATAAAGTAGCTTATACTTTATTTGCTTTATTTGCTTTATTTGAACTTATAAAGTTCAACCATCTGAACTTCTGGACTATATCCTAGGAAATTGGCATTTCTGTTCTAGCCGAAATGTACTCAAGAAAAATTACAACCTAGTATTTTACAGTATCAGCTTCTAACTTTCTTTCTCCCTTCTGTGGCCCTCAGTTCAGATGCACACATTTTTGATGTCCTTTTTCCATTCCATTATTCGCTTTTGAGGAACACACTTCTCTACCACTTCTTCTTTGCTTCTACACAATCTCATACAAATACTTTTCTCTCAGTGTAAATAATCACTGGTGAACTCTTTGATATGGTTTCCATTTAACTATAAAGTGGTGGCTGGATTAGTGTATCTTCCCAGTGTTCTTAGGGAGTCATAGGTAATTAATTCCACCTACTACATTTGCCACATTTGTTGCCTATTTCTAAGTCTGCAGTTTTTTTGTTTTTAAAAATATTCTAGCTGCTGGTCTGTTGGCCAGAGTTTCCTCTTAACTACTGTCTCAGGTTTCATCATGGGAAGAATCCATTGTACAGGATATGATTGGAAATATATACAGGTTGGGGGTGCCTGGCTGGCTCAGTCTTTGGAACATGTGACTCTTGGTCTTGGGTCATAAGTTCAAGCCCCATGTTGGGAATAGAGATTTCCTATGAAAAATAAAATCTTAAAAAAAAAAAAGAAAATACAAGGTGGTTTTGTTTGTTTGCTTGTGAGTTTTCTTTTTGTCTTAAGACTACAGTTGCTTTTGGACTAGAAAAACACTGTGTAGAATCAGTTCCCTAAACTTAAATGTTTTTAAAAGTGCTAAGTCAACTCTATAGTATTTTCTCCCAAGTCTTGTTTTATTCTAAACTAAGCTCTATCAATTGATGGATCAGTGTCTCTCCTTGGTGAATCTCTCTCTAAATCTGGATATTTCCTGCAGATATAATTAAATTAAGCCATGGTTTATCAACATTTGAACTCCAAAGTCCTTTTATTTTCCTAATATTTGGAAAACTTAAGCCTGGGGCGCCTGGGTGGCTCAGTGAGTTAAGCGTCCGACTTCAGCTCAGGTCATGATCTCACAGTCTGTGAGTTCGAGCCCCACGTTGGGCACTGTGCTGACAGCTCAATGCCTGGAGCCTGCTTCAGATGTTGTGTCTCCCTCTTTCTCTGCCCCTCCCCTGCTCATGCTCTGTCTCTCTCTGTCTCAAAAATAAATAAAAACATTTTAAAAAATTTTAAAAAAGAACACTTAAGCCTAGTACAAATTAATTCAATAATAACTTTATTTTTAATAATCAAGAATTTTAATAAGTTAATAGTTGAAGGAAGTGTTATTGGTTGTCCCTGGATTCATTCATTTATTTAATATTGAGAACCTCTTTTATCTTAGATTGTATAAAGGCATAAACAAATCAGATGTGGTCTATGTTTCTTTGTATTCTACAGATTAGTGGAATAGATAAACAAAAGGCAGTGTTAAAATGGAACTTACAGGGTTGCCTGGGTGGCTCAGATGTATGAGTGTATGACTCTTGACCCTGACTCTTGGCTCAGGTTATGATCCCAGGGCCGTGGGGTCAAGCTCCACATTGGGCTCTGTGCTAGAAGTGGAGTCTGCTTAGGTCTCTCTCTCTCTCTCTCTCTCTCTCTCTCTCTCTCTCTCTCTCTCTCCCCCTCTCTCTCTCCCTGTTCCTCCCCCACTCTTTCTCTCTCATAAATAAATAAATAAATAAATAAATAAATAAATAAATAAATGGAAAATAAAATGGAACTTACAGATTAGTTGAAAAATTAATAAAATATAACTAATTTCAACATTCTGAAGTAAATGAATAAACCGAAGGGCTATAGGTAGGGATATAGATAACAAAGATGGTTGTCATCTAGGAAAACTTTGATGGAAACAATACTTAAGTTGTAATCTACAGGATTTTGTTTTTGAGGTCAGCCACACAAAGTGGAGAAAGAATATGTTCCAAGTAAAAGGAAATGAATGCTCATCATCTCCAAAGCAAGAAACAATCTGACAAGGTCTAAGAATTAAAAGAACCCCAGCATGGCTAGAGGATAGTACATGTATACAAGCAGACAACAAAAATGGATATTTTAGGAAGCAAGCAGTGACCACAGATCATTCAGGAATTTGTCAGCCACGATGAGGATTTTGGATCTTATCCGTAGTATGATAGGAAATCACTGGAGGGTTTTAAGCAGAGGAGCAGCATGTTCATATTTATGTTTGCAAAGAGGTACACTGGCAGCTCTGGGCAGCATGGATTTGAGAGGATAAATATTGATACCAGGGAAGCAGTTGAGGCACAGGCCAGATGATAGATGAGAGTAATTTGAATTAATCTGATGTCAGAGGAGATGCTGAGAAAAATCAAGATATATTTTAAAGAAGGAAAGAAACAACTTGAGGTGGATCTGGTACCAGAGGTGGGAATGATAAGGAAGAAAGAAGAATCAAAGACCAACAGATAGGCTTAAACAAGCAGATAGGTTGTAGTACTATTCGCTGAGATGGGGAGTCTGGAAGAAAAACAGGCTAGGTGAGAGAGTAGAATATTAAGAGTTTCACGCTGAAAATGTTTGAAATACCTCTGACATAGTCACAAGATATGTCAGGTGAGAATTTGACATATGCAGCTGGAATTCAGTACAATTTTTGGATTGAGATATAAATTTGGAAATCACTTGCATAGGAAAAAAATAAGGTCATTGGACTGAGTGAGACATTTAGTGAAAACATAGAGAAGAATAAAGGACATAGGAATCCAGCATAATTTGAGTTTGTGATTTTAGGGTTGATAACTGTAATGGCAACACATGTTCAAGCTCCTATAGTGTGCTAACTTTACATATTTTAACTATTTTATTTAAGTAAATACTGTTTTTTTTATTTTATTTAAATACTGGCTTATTGTAACATTTCAATAAATACTACTTGATCAAATGAATGTTCAGCCTTCAGTAGGACAGATATGTTTTCTGTTCGAAATTGGGTAGAACATGTCTTCATCTCAGCTGAAGTGCCCAAACTAAACACATGGAGTATAGGTGCCTCTTTGTCTAAAAGAGGCTGAACCATATCCAGACCATTCATCAAGATTTGAGACTGGGAAACTGGTTCATTGTCCTGTATATAAAAGGATGGCATCATCTGAGAGGAGACCAAGGAGTATGACCTTCTTTGAAGAGTCTAACAAACAGTGGTTTTCCAAGTTCCTCCCTCCCTACATATTCTAAGTACCTCAAAAGAACCACAGGTAAATAGTGTGAGTAGTCCACAGAATGGAAACTGACATTTGGCCACAAGCAGAATATACTCTGAACTGCAGAAACTCATATTCTTATGTTCCACAATGTGGGATGTGATGAAAGTGGCCTTGAGACTCTTGGCATTTGTGGGACGCTGTCCTTGGATATATCTGAAGGTTGAAGGTTAGCTGAGGATGACTTTGATGACAAAGAAAAATGGCAAGGCTGTCGCGGGAGGGATTGCCACTTCCTGGGAAGCAAGGAATACAACTGGCTTTAGCCTTCTTAAAGGACTTCTCCAGAAGGAGTATCTGTGGAACTAAGGCAACCCTACACAAAGTGGCTGTGCAAGAATCACTAGAGGTAAAGTGAAGAAAGGGGAATGATTTGTGCCAGAGGATCAACGTGGGGTGGTCAAAGAGCCTGTAAAGGTGCCATGTGAGAGAAAAGGCTTGCATGCTGTCAGAAGACCCAGTGCCAGAAAATGGCAGCATCAGCCACCTGTGATTTTTCTTCCTTTTCCTCTAATCCCACTTTTATCTTGTCCCCATTCCTACCCTGAAGGAGCTAGAAATAGCAACTAGAGAAGGGTGAGATGGTGAAGCATGGAAGAAAGTAAACATGGATTTCACCCTCCTTTCCCATTGCAGACTGGTTAATCCAGATGGGGGCACAGGTAGTGGTACTCCTATTGGGAGATGAGAAGCTGTGAACTGGATGAACATTGGAAGCTTTAAGTTATATTGCAATGGACTTTGAATATCTGAAAATGAGGACTGTTCATTAATGCTTGGAAATCATTGCAAATTAATGGATCTTCTTGAGATATTATCCAAGGGAAGGAAAGGGAAGGAAAAGATGACAGAATGGGTTTGACAGGCAGTGGTAGGAGAAAAATTAAAGAATTTGTCTTTTGCACCCTTTCTGAATAGCTTGTGAAAAACTTAGTTCCAATTAGAAATTATTCCCAAACTCCTATCACTAACTTCAATGATGTGTACATGATTGGGGAACTTGGACTGAGACAGAATCACTATCTTAAGTCACATATGCTCAAGAATAAGATGGCCCTGTGTATACAAGGTTGATGAGAAAACTCGTTTCATTGGCATGAAATGGAACATCCAGAAAATGCAGTAAATATGCAGAGAGGTGTCTTGCATTGTCTTTTACATTACCATTTTATGCACGGCTTTCTGAAGGTTGAGACCACTAATGAGAATAAGAAGTAGGATATTCTAATTGTTCCAGTAGAACTTTCTGTGACAGTGAGAATGTTCTATATCTGCTCCATCCATCATGCTAGCCACTAAGCTACATGTGACCACTGAAAAACTGAAATATAACTAGTATAACTGGGGAATGGTTTTTAAATTTTATTTAATTCACTTAAACTTGAATAGCTACCTGTGGCTCGTGGACAGCACAGGCCCTCACTCTTTAAGGAATAGTGATAAGCTACAAAAAAATAGCATAAAACAACACTAATTTAGAACCAACAAAGACATTTCCCAGCCATTCTCCATCTTATTAAGTCTGTTTTGGACTATTGGTTTGGCCAAGTATCCCATGTAGATAGCTTTTGCCCTCAGCTACATCACTTTCTGCTAATCTATAATGCTTTCGCTCTCTTTTATTAATCTGGCGTTTGCTTTTATAATATTTGAGGGAAGGAGGGTATTTTCCCCACTGCAGAAAGTATCATAATTAAGACAGATAAGTCATGCAGCTTTTGTTTATGTCACAATTTTCCCTGTAGCTAGAATTAAATGATGTTGTCAAAGGGCAATGCTAGTGTTTGATGGCTTTTAATATTTTTGTCCATATCAAAAGACTAAATAAATGCAATCGATATCCCCAATTCCTAACTCTGTAGTAATTATTCCAATAAAGGGATATTCATGCTACCAAGCATCAATATATGTTCTTCATTGCCCTAATAAATCTGCTCCTAGAAAATAAACTATGTTCAGCTCAGGCTTTAGAGAGAATATTAGCAAATGCCAAGCTCAAAATGTTATTAACCAAACTCTTCAGCACACTGGGGCTTACAAAATATGGATTTTTAAAACCCAAACACTTAATGAGAACTATCAAGAGAGAAGAATCATATCTGCAAAGGGGCTGCATATTATATTTAGGGTGGCTCCTTAGGCAAATAACTCAGACGAGGGTTTTTAAATAGCCCTGGCTATCCAGAAGAATTCATTCTATAAATGGCTAGCTCATAAAATAAAGCAACTACAAAATAATAATATCAACAGTTATGAGTATTCCTTGCTGGCTCACCCTATTTTAAGATGTTCAGAGATCCTCACAAGAACTCCATGAGCTAGATACTATTTTATTCCCCTTGTGTAAATGAGGAAGCTATGGTGTCAGGAGACTGTCTGAGGCCAATATCTGGGGTGGGAGCGTTGTCATATTGATCAAATCCAGGCATGCGTGTCTTACTCCAAACCCCATACCTCTCATTTATTACTTATTTAAAAACATACATACAAAGACCCACTATATATTAAGACAAGTCATTAACGAGGCAGTACCAACCTACTTATTTCAGTCTGAGTAATTCCAGCATGCTACAAACATTTCTTGGTGAGTTTCTGTTAGCTCAGTCTGCTAGATGTATAGGTTACCTTTCCTATTAAGTGGTTAGCAGTTTACTTGGTAAAATCTTCCTTTAAGATTACATAAGAAAATAAGGCATAAATCCTTTCAACATCCTAGTTCCAGAAATATTTGTATCACTCACTTGCTTACACACACTCTCTTTCTCTTCCTCTTGCTCTATGTATCTGTCTCTCTCTATAGATAGATAGATACACATATTTAGAAACTTACATCCTATTTGCAGATCCACTGGCACAAGAAATGTTAACACAAGGAAGGACCTCTGCATTAAATCGCTGGAACAGGCATTACTTTATCAATGTCTAAAAGAGGGGAGGGGCGCCTGGGTGGCTCAGTCTGTTAGGCGTCCATCTTCGGTTCAGGTCATGATCTCCACGTCTGTGAGTTCGAGCCCCCACATCAGGTTCTGGGCTGTCAACTCATAGCCTGGAGCCTGCTTTTGATTCTGTGTCTCCCTCTCTTCCTGCCCCCCACCCCCCTCATGCTCTCTGTCTCTAAAAAATGAATAAACTTTAAAAAAAATAAAAGATGGGGAAATACTTTGAATTCAGGGGATCTAAGACCAGTAAAACAGTAGGAGTATTAACCCATATAATGTATAAATGGTAGAGTATAAAGTCTGCCATGATAGATTTGGCTGTGTGCTTATGTGGCAGAGAGACAGAGAGAAAGAGAGAGAAAGACAGAGCGAGCACATACAAGTTTTCTGATGTCTTTTCTTCTATGGGCACTCATCCCATCAGGAGAGGCTCACCTTCATAACTTCCTCTAAACCTAACTACCTCCTAAGGACACCTCGGTGGCTCAGTTGGTTAAATCCAACTCCATCTTAGGTCATGATCTCACAATTCATGAGTTCAAGCCCTGTGTCGGGCTCTGTGCTGACAGCTCAAGCCTAGACCCTGCTTCAGATTCTGTGTCTCCCTCTCTCTCTGTCCCTACCCTGCTCCCTCTATCAAAAATAAACAAACATTAAAAAAATAAATTTAAGCCTAATTACCTCCTAAATGTGCATTTCAGACACTGTCACATTAGTAGTTAGTGCTTCACCATATGAATTTTGGGGAGAACACAATTCGGTCCACAGAAGGTACATTACAACCAAACTCCAGGGCAAAAATGACTCTGGGTAGGGAATAGGAGCAGCAGAGGAGTAATAGAGGGTAAGTACAGAAACACCCAGGGCATCCAGATTAGCCATAACTGCCAGACTAAGGAGTTCAACATTGTTATGTAATTGAACTTGATGAAGTTGTTAACCAAAATTCATTTGGAGTGGTATTATCAAATGCTTTAAGCAGAGTGGAAGCAGGGAGACACTGGATATAACACTACTTGTCCCTACGCGAATGTGCCATAAAGCACCTTAAGGTATGACTCATCTTATAAGAAATGTGATTCGAAATTGAGAAACGAGTGACAAATGAGTACAGCTTGACGCTAAAACATCTTAGAAATCAACTAGGGATGCAAGAAATAAACTGTATATATCACGGGGCCTCTTTCTCAAGCACACACCTAGAAATATAGAACAGTTACCATGTATGGAAAGAAGAAATTTTTTGGAGGAAGGGAGAAAGGGGGCAGTAAACTTAACAGCTGTCAATCAGGGCTGGTTTTGAGAAATCCTAAAATAGACACATGACTTGTAAGGCAAAAAGCAGTGCCACTCTGACTTGCTGACCTAGCTTTTCTCAACCACAGTATTTACAAAAATATTGATTTAAAGCCTTGTGTTAAGAAGCACAGTGATCATAACCTCATCTGTTGATCTTTTTCCTTACCTAAGACAGGAGGGACGATACTTTTTAAAATTAAAGTTCAGTAATTAGAGTAGGCAGTGAAACTAGAAGAGGAAACAAAAAAGCTAAATACAAAATCCTCTTAATATGAAAAAGAAGTAAAAAGAAAAAGTAGTAGTTTCAGGGAAGTAGCAGAATCAAGAACTCTAAATGACTTATTTGCATTTTTCTGCTCTTTTACTCTAAATTTCATAACTTTAAAGGAATAATCTTCAGCCTTAGAGTTTGTAAACACAACATGCAAATGGTCTATTGGAGTTTACATTTTATTAATTTTTTTTTTTTTTTTTCCTGAATGGAAAGCAGTCATTGTTTTAATTCTGGTCAGCGTCCATATTTGGGCCCTTCCAGCCCTGCTGGAAGTGCCATGGTGAGTATATTTTATTTATTTTTTTATTTAAAAAAATTTTTTTTAATGTTTATTTATTTTTGAGAGGCAGATAGAGACAGAGTATGAGCAGGGAAGGGCAGAGAGAGAGAGAGAGGGAGACACAGAACCTGAAGCAGACTCCAGGCTCTGATCTGTCAGCACAGAGCCCAAAGTGGGGCTCGAACTCAGAACCACTGGATTATGACCTGAGCCGAAGTTGGACGCTTAACCAACTGAGCCACTAGGTGCCCCTATTTTTATTTTTTTATTAAAAGAATTTTTTTTAATGTTTATCTTATAATTTTTGAGAGAGAGACAAAGTGTGAACAGAGAGGGTGGGCAGAGAGAGGGAGACAGAATCGGAAGCAGGCTCCAGGCTCTGAGCTGTCAGCACAGGGCCCAATACAGGGGTCAAACTCATGAGCCATGATATCATGACCTAAGCCCAAGTCAGACGTTTAACTGACCTAGCCACCCCGGCACCCCATTATTTTTTAATTTATAAAACTATCAAATTTATTAAAGGAGAAATCTTACCTGGTTTTTTTGAGTAAAAGTAGCTTAAAGGACAGTGCATATAAAGTGAGGAAAGAGCAATCTATATCCTTTGACACTTTTTTCTGATTTGGTAAGCAAGTAATTTTACTTGCTTAGAAACGCCCATTCTTATAGCACAGGTGTCTCTCATATATTTTTTTCTAATTAAGAGCTTACATATTTTTCTGTATTCTCTTAGGAACTACTAAAACCCTGAATTTTTTCTAAATTTTATCATTTCCATAATTTTTTTCTCTAAGATTTTTTCCATTTTATTTTCATATATGCCTTATATTATTCTTGCAAAAATATTTTCACATGCAGACTACTAACAAAAAATAACAGGTAGAAGCATTTTATTAAGTTTGTGCTGCTATATTTAAAAATAATGTAATGTTCATTGCTATGTACCAGTAACTTCCATGACTGTTATTGATAGCTTTTGGTTGGATCATCCCCTATATATTTTTTTTCCTTTTTTGTTCTGTTCTGTCCTTTCCTCTCTTCCTTCTTTTCTTTTAGTAAGATAAATACAGTTATATATACCACATGTCTGACTTAGAGGTCTAGTATTAATGGATTCTGTCAGGACGATACATGTATAATCAGATTAGTCATCGTTTAAATATATTGAACAGGTTGACAATTTTACTAGATCTTCTGCTTAATCAGTTTTACCTACTTTTCATAATATTTTACGTTTACTTCATTAATTTTACAAAGCTAAAGATAGTACTTTGGGGTTGAGTCAAGGGTAGGGAGGCGGTCATGGAGGCCTTCTAACACAACAAGGATCAGGGTTCTTTAGGAAACCGGGTATGGTTCATTACAATGCTCAATTACAAAAACTTGATTAACTATTTTCCCCTGTTACTTATTTATTTTTATTTGTGCGGTTCAGTGAAAACCCCAGCTCTGTAAATGTGTCATGTATGCTCTTTTTGTTAATCTACATGTTCCAATGGTTTGAAGACTTCAGTGCATCTAAGACTTACCTGAGATCTTGTTGAAAATATTCTTGCTACCACCTCTCTCTGCCATGAGATTCTGGCATCAGCGTCTTTTCCGTAATTTACTTTGAATGATTCAGTTATTTTACAACTTGAGTCCCTTAAAACTAAGGAATGTAATTCACTAAGTTGTATCCACCTGTCACCAGGTATTTTGGAACTTACTTCGTATTCAGTTTCTTGAAAGAATAGAAAGCACATTTGGAGTTTCCTAGGTTTTGTGGCCCGGCCTGAACAAAACAACTAATTATAACCTAGTTTCTATAGAGTTGCAAACAATTTGCAGTGTGGAGTACTGGCTGTTCACAAATTGGGACTAGCCTATATTGTTTTGAGAGATGCCTGTTCCCACTTGAGGTCCTCATGACAGGTGCTCACTCAATTCCGTTGAATGCTTATTGACCTTAGAGGAGGGTTAAAACGCTGTGTTCTAAATGTAGTTACATCTTTTCAACTTGCCCATGTCTGTTTAAGACTCACCATTTCATTATTATTATTTGCTTTGAGACTGTCGTGCAAGAGGAAGGTAACCACTGGTGGTTGCGTTGGATTGCAGGGCGAGGCCGGCTGGTTCCTGCAGTGCCCAGGCCTGCACGGAAGCGCCCAGCAGAACCCAGCTGAGGCTACATGCTTTTCCCCCCCGCTCTGCCAGAGGGCTGAGCAGCAAAGCGCTCCCCGGGGGCATTGTGTGTGAGCTGGCCGCGGATCGCAGGCCCAGGGGGCAGCTCCACCGCAGGAGACAAGACACGCCTCAGGCCGGGCAAATTCCCGGCCCCCTCTGGCCCCAAGCCAGCAGCCGCCGCCCGCCACCTCCTCTCCAACTCCGCTGTGGCCCCGGCCGCCCCGCCGGGCCCCGAACTCGCCCGCGCCGCGGCGCCGGCCCCTCGGCCCCCGGCGCAGGCGGCGCGGCTG